GGAGACTCGCACCGTTTGGGTAAGGGTGTATGTAGTATAGACCCCAGAGGAGCACGAACTATGGTGGTCCTGGCATGTAATAAGTCCTGAGTTGCACCACTGAACAACGAAGCTCTTCAAAAGGGAGATTTCACAGATTTCGTAGCTCAGTGGTACAACACTTGACCTGCTACCTGCTAGGACCACAGTTTAAGTAGGTTCTTCTATTTATTCACTGACAGTCGTTCATTACGATATATATATATATATATATATATATATATATATATATATATATATATATATATGTCGTGCCGAATAAGCAGAACTTGCGATCTTGGCTTAAATAGCAACGGCCTGGTGGCTAAAGCTCCCGCTTCACACACGGAGGGCCCGGGTTCGATTCCCGGCGGGTGGAAACATTTCGACACGTTTCCTTACACCTGTTGTCCTGTTCACCTAGCAGCAAATAGGTACCTGGGTGTTAGTCGACTGGTGTGGGTCGCATCCTGGGGGACAAGATTAAGGACCCCAATGGAAATAAGTTAGACAGTCCTCGATGACGCACTGACTTTCTTGGGTTATCCTGGGTGGCTAACCCTCCGGGGTTAAAAATCCGAACGAAATCTTATCTTATCTTGCCATATAGGACAAGTGAAAATTTGTGTATGCAATAATTTCGTCAAATTTATTCTGAACCTAACGAGAAAAAAAATTATTTCATTGTGTTTGTTTAGTATTAAATTACTGTAAACAAATCTAAAATATATTTAGTTGGGTTAGGGTAAAATAAACTGTTCTTGTTATAATAAGGTTAGGTAAGTTTTCTAAGATTCTTTTGATGCAAAATTAAAAATTTTTACATTAACATTAATGAAAAAAATATATCTTTAAACGTACAAGAGAAAATTTTAGAAAGGACTTAATTTTAAATGAGTTCTTGCTAATTGACCAGTTTTACATATTCGGCACGACATTATTATAAGGTGACCCAAAAAAGAAACATTCACCATCATTCATTCTTCCCATGTTTCTCTTTTTTGAAAATTCTTTGAAACGTGATATTTTTCATCATCGAAGTGGGAGCTCCCCGATACTAGTAAAGGGCTCTTGATCTACGGAAAAAAGATACCATCCTCCCCTTCCTTAGATTAAAATTGATTACCTACCGTTTCCCAGGGACTGTTTAATCTCTATTTGTTTAGGCTTTCTCAGTAAAAATAATAAATAAAAATAACATTTAGTTTTAAGGGTAAATGAAATGTCCATTAACTCTTATCTGATTTATTGGCGATATACCACACGATATTTTACTAAAAATATAATTTCTGTGTAAATACAATCAGGTATACGGAGTATATACAACTAGGTAGAGTTTTCAAGTAGATTTAAATGTGTTTGTGTAGTGTTCGGTGTGTGTGTGTGTGTGTGTGTGTGTGTGTGTGTGTGTGTGTGTGTGTGTGTGTGTGTGTGTGTGTGTGTGTGTGTGTGTTAAAATCAGCGAGAGGTAGCGCACATTGCAATGTCAACACAATACATCCTCCGGCTTCCAAAACTCTCATGTGAGAGCCCTTCAGTACCAGTTGGCTGATGTGTTAAAGCTGAGTTGTGGAAGGACTCAGCTGAGTGAGTGCATCAAAATATAATTGTAGCAGCAGCAGCAGGTATTGACCACCGGGAGCAGCAGCCTAGCACACACACACACACACACACACACACACACACACACACACACACACACACACACACACACACACACACACACACACACACACACACACAGCTACTCTTCCACTAGGCTTTCCAAACAAGCATCTGTCACACCGAACTTTCATACACACCATTCTTGAGGTAAATTAATAATGACTATTTTGTAATACTTTTTTTCCTTAGCTTGAACACTCTACGAGCCGCATTCATGTTCTTAACTTGAGACCGGGGCCAGGAGTTGGGACTCGACCCCCCGTAACCACAATTATGAGAGTATATGCTTCACTACTGACACAAACATCTGGAATGTTTATTAATATTACTAGTGAGTGATTTCCAGTTTGCTTCTTGAAATATTTGATCAATGCGTATTCTTCCTACCGGTACTAAATAATATATATTTTTTTTATTTACTGTTACTCGCGATAGCTATTCACAACCATTCTAGCTTTCTACCAGCATTGAAATATTCTGCTACTCTCGAGGATATTCACTAGAAGACGTAACATAAGGTCAAGCTGGCGGCTCGTCTTCGAAATCTGGATCGTTCTGGGTGATAACTGAGAGCGCGTTGGAGACTCGCTGCTGTACTCGAAGACGTCTCTGCCAGTACTCCAACTGCGTTCCTAAGACTCTCATCTTGGCCTCATGTTCCGCCACAGACTGCGCCATCTGCAGCCTCAGAAGCTGCAGCTGCGCCTGATGTTGCTCCTCTGTGTGTCTAATGGACGTCTCCACCCCAGCTAGACGATGCTGGAGGCGGTCCTGCACCAATGGTGGCTCCATCGGGGAATCTGATCGAGTATGCTTGTCTGCGGTTGCTGAGGATGTGGTGTTCGGAGAGGTATTAAAGAGTTCCTGAGAAACACCATTCATAGTGACGGAGGCCCCTGAGGTAGAGATGCATGTGCCTGAGGTAGTAGCGGTGGTGGTCGGGGCGGAGGTAGCTGTCGTTGGTGAGGTAATGGAGACAGGATCCACGGAAGACCTCAGAATCGTTTGACAAAGCTCGGAGTCCCCTGTTGTAAACGAGGAGACGGCGTGCGGTAGTAGTAGTCCAGCTGGCAGCTGAGATCCTTGAGGGGATGCCAAAAACGGAAGAGTTGTGGTTAATGATCCCAACCCTCCACTTAGGAGTGAGGATACTAATGGATGAAGGTTTAGCACGGCTGGTCCCCGCTCAGCGAGAACGGGCATGTGATCCAGACTTTCCTGAGACTGTAGACCATCGTCGTCCACTTCTTCCTTGACTCCCTTCTCGACTTCTTCAATGTCATCAAGATTTCTGTGGGATTCTTCTTCAGATTCTCGCCACTCGCCCCCTTCCCCTGCCTCTCCTTGCATGGGTGTTGTGTGATGTTGTGGTGAGGGAGGCCCAGGCAGTGTTACCCCATCTAGCGGCCAGCTAGATTCAGCACTATTATTCTGCTGCCTCGAACTCCTGTGACTCTCGGACCCCAACTTACGGGCGCGGTACTTGAGGTTCTCCCACGCCTTCCTCAATTGCTTCGTGTCGCGGGACCTGACGTGGGGGTGAGCGTTGTACCTGGCCGTCAGGAGGCGCCACATTTCGTTCCTGATGGGGTGTTTGTGGACATCGGGAGGGTCGAACTCTGTGACGCCAGCGTACTGTCGCATGAGAAGCCTCAACACAGCCTTCTCATGTTGTGTCCACATCGGGCGTCTCTGTTCGCGTCCGGCTGCCCCGCCTGTGCTATATACCAGGGGCATCCCGACTCCCTCTAGCATCCTCGACCACCACCACCCTTATCCACCACACACCCGCTTTTCAAGGCATCATAACTCTTAAAGACATGTTTTGTACACTTTCTGCACTAGAGCCAGAGACTCCCTGAGATACAGTTAAACATTTTGCACTACAGTAAGTTTGTTTTAGCACTATAAAGTTCTGGGACATGAGGTAACTATACGCCACAATGTTTCCTGTTGTCTGAAAGGGAATACACCACAATTTAATATACATCGGAACCATATTTCAACAATTAACACTGAGGTAATACAAACGTGATTAAACATTACACACAAACAAAAATTATAAGCGACTTTTTTTTCCATATAGAGAGAATATAAGAAAGTAACACTGTTTTCTGAATGACCCAGACGGCTTGCTAAATCCAGCACAAATAATCCAGTGGTCGCCAGAGCCAAGCAACACCTACCTCGTCGACACTTTTTTTTTTATAAACGTATGTTTCCCCTAGGAACGGTTGCACTCCAGCGGTTACTGTTCGCCGTGACCCGAGGGAACCAACTTCACCCACGTCATGTGGGTCTTTATCCACATGACGTGCGTAAAGACCCCACGTCATGTGAACTTTCCCCACGAATATATTAATGTAAGACCCACCAACACACGCCAGAGGTTGACTTAGTGGAACATCAGAATGAGAGTGTGTGTTGTATGTACTGTACAGTGCCAGGCCGGCCCACTTTTCCAGTACACATTGCCAGAGTGGCCCTCTTCCCCTGACCAATGCCAGAGTGACCCCTCTCCCTCTGACCAGTGCCAGAGTGGCCCTCTTCCCCTGACCAATACCAGGGGCCCTCTTCCCCTGACCAGTACCAGAGTGGGCCTCTTTCCCTGATCATTGCCAAGCTGGCCCCTCCCCTATACGCTATGCCACGATAGCTCTCCTCCCCTTTACACAGTGCCAGACTGGCCCTTCGTGTATTATGTACAAAGGCTAACTCTCCTGACCCTCATCTTCAGTAAATACACAATGAAAAAGCAAACCCAGTCAAAGTACCCAAGCTGTCGATGACCTGGAGAGAGAGAGAGAGAGAGAGAGAGAGAGAGAAGAGAGAGAGAGAGAGAGAGAGAGAGAGAGAGAGAGAGAGAGAGAGACCTCCACAAAGAAACATAACCATGGGCAACAAAGATTCTCTGAACAATAAGACACTAACTAGCCCACACAGCTGGTGGTAAGCTTCAGCAGACTACCTCACCATCATTAGGCATCATTATCTTTATCGTCACTACCACCACCACCACCACCGTCATTACCGTAATCACCACAACTACAAACATCATTATCCTTACAATTACCGTCTTCATGTTTATTTTTACTCAAATATCCCGATTTTCTTCCTCCACCCCCACCACCACCACTACTAACCCCCCACCCCAACAACCCCTCTTCTGCCCTCTCAATAATCCATTTCGTAATCACACACAGTCTTCTGATTTCTTTGCTACAAATTGTACATGAGCGCATGAACAATTTTGTGTATGAATGTGTACGTATATATTTGTGTGTATATTTTTATATGATATGAGCTTTAGATTTTTACGGAGAGGGCTGGTAAGCCAGCGAAAGGCCTCGGTTATATTACCTGAAGCTCCACTGAAAGCGCCATTAAATGACCAATATAAGACAGGCTCATTCTATAGAGTGCAATTTTTCATAAGAGCAGTTGAAAAAGTGCATCGACAATTGAGTACCACTTACCACCAACACCTTTCCACGCATCACTCAATTCTCGGATGTAGTTTTCACTTGGCGTTTGTGATCAACTGAACTATGTAGAAGAGCTCTGTAAGAGCTGACAGTGGAGCTTTAAAACAGAACTGACTGTATATTATTTCACTTAAAAAATAAACCACCACACTACATCCCTCTTCTCTACCCCCCCCCCCCCTCTCTCTCTCTCTCACTCCGCCTCTTCCTTCTCTCTGCTCAATCGTGCACACAGGACAGAAAAATATTCGAGTAGCAGAACCAGAGGCTACATTTGTACACCACAAACAACATATGAGGTTAGGGGAGGCAAGGAGAGAGGAAGAGAAAGGAAGAAAAAGAAAGGCGAGAGAGGGAGATGATTAAGATGGGAAAAAAGGGGAGTTTGGAAGATGGATAGGTAAAGAAGGAAGATGAAAAAGCAAGAGAATGAGGTATAGAAATGAGAGGTATGAGAGAGAGAGAGAGAGAGAGAGAGAGAGAGAGAGAGAGGAGAAGAGAGAGAGAGTGAGAGAGAGAGAGAGAGAGAGAGAGAGAGAGAGAGAGAGAGAGAGAGAGAGAATGAATTTGGTATACTGTCGAGGTCCCTCGTCACGTGGTCACTCATCCAGTTACTGTTAGTGCCAAAGGTGCCTTAACCTGACTGACCCAGTGACGTACACATGTTCCTGCAAATGATAACAAGACTGTTGGCTGAAAGCAGCAACAACCTTCGTGGACATGTAGTCGCCAGAGTAGCAGCACTCGGGTGAATCTGCCTCAAGTGACGATAGTTATCCCAGTGGCTCCTACAACGTAAACTGTGGTGAACTGCCGCACTACTACTACATTACCTAGCACACCAACGACAACATTAACTGCCACAAAACTATATCAACTACCACACTACACTCACAATCCCTCATTCTAGTCGAGATGCATTGAAAGGAAGTATTACTATACAGCTGAAATGGTTACTGCATCTGCTAATACTACAGCAGACCCCATCACAGTGACATCCACTACTAATAGTAGTAGTAGTAGTAATACTACCACTACAAGGGTAGCTGCAACAATCAAGCTGCGTCGTAATAGATAAGGTGAACACAACGCGATATATCGACCAGGCCAAAACGTGGGCCCGCTGGCCCACCTTGCTACTCCCCTTCCTCCTGCACTGGGCGGCCAACGCACTACTCTACTGCACTTCCACCAGCCTTGAAAACTATCCCAGAGTTGCCGCATGTGGCTACACCGCTCCTACCTCACTACTCTCTTCTACCTTCCCATTATGATGGAGTCTGCTGTGGAGGGAGAAAAAGATGGCTGGAAGAGAGGATATTAGGGAGGACTGGAAGAGGTGAATGTAGTGTTGGTGGTGGTGAAAGAGATGCTGGAGGTGGTAGAGATGCTGGAGGTGGTGGATGTGTTGTTTGTGGTAGTCGTGATGGTGGTCGTTTTTTTACTATTATTATTAGCATCGTCAGGTACAGGGATACAGGATACCCAATGCCTGAAACATTCCAGCGGGCACTGGAGTTTTCTAGCACATTTTTCCCCCTGAATGCTACCCACAATAGTCTCCTAACGCAAGGGGAGGGGCAGTGGGGATGTAAGGAAATTTGTCCATATGTCTTTACTCGGCAGGGAATCAAACCCAGGAACTTTCGATTGTGAATAGAATTCTCTCACCAGTCAGCTACGAGGCACAACAGATGGTGGTAGGGAAGTCTGAGTTTGAGGATGTTGTTGATGTTAAGGAAGGCGGTGATGGTGGTGTTGATGTTTGGTGGAAGTGATGGTGGTGGGCGTTGATGTTTGGTGGTAGTGATGGTGGTGTTAATGTTTGGTAGTGACGGCAGCAATGAAGTTTGGTTTGGGAAGCCGAGCGGAACATCCCTAACTACATCCACGCACACGATAGGCAAACACACACACACACACACACACACACCACACACACACACACACACACACACACACACACACACACACACACACACACTTAGTGGCAACTTTACCAACCAACAACATTCTCGCGTAGGCAACTCTTCGTCGCTCCGGCCTGCACTCAACTGCACTTGAGACAACCCCTTGAAACAAACACACACACACACACACACACACACACACACACACACACACACACACACCTACAACCCCTGCAACCACAAATAGGTGAGTACACACAGTGGTCAGATAAGTGGTTGCTTGAATTCAACTCCAGTAAATGCAAGGTCATGAAGATTGATTAGAGCAAGAAGGCCGGAAACGGGTTACAGACTAGAGGGACAAAGGCTTCAGACTTCACTTAGAGAATAAGACCTAGGGGTGAGCATAGTGCCCATTATAACTTCAGAGGCTCACATCAGCCGAATAAGCTCTGCAGCCCATGTTCCTCTGCAAATCCAAGAGTAGCCTTCGGGAATCTTAGCGAAGAGTCAATCCTGATAATTAGCCTACACAGTACGCTTCAGTCGAATACAGAGGAGGCAGCAGAAATAGTTGAGATGTAATCAGTCCATCACCCTCGAAGATATAGTTTTGAGGGAATCAGTCCCTCAACCTGGAAGAGTTCTGCTCATGGCCTGGTCATGGACTGGGCCGCGGGGGCGTTGATCCCCGGAATAACCTCCAGGTAACCTCCAGGTATAGTCTGGAACAGAACTCTTCTACAGACTGAGGGACTGACTACCTCAAAACTACGTCTTCGAGGGCGATGGAGAGATTACATCTCTACTAATTCTTCTGCCTCCTCTGTATTTGACTGAAGAAGCCTACCGTGTAAGCGAAAGCTTTCCGAATAAAGATGCCTCATTTGCACACGTGTCTTATTTATCAACATACGTTAGGCTCACCTTGGTGTATTACTGCATATTCTTATACTGCAAGAAAACATTTAAATTCCTTCGCTGGAGACCGATGCATAAACTGAAAGAGGTGGAGTCAACGACAGCAAAAACCCGTCAGTGAAATGAGTACTTAACGTATACAAAAGATACCAAGAGGGACAAGTATAAGCGAGAACAAATGGGGTACCCTAAGGGTCAGTACAAGAACCACTACCGTGTCTGATTGCCTTAATGATCTGCTTAGGGAAATTAAATCAAACGTATCTTTGTTTCCAGATAAGGTAAACCTCGTGGGATGAATAAGAAGTCACCAGTGTAAAAGTTATCAACGTGACATGTGCCAGATCAACCAGTTTATGATGAATATGTGGGTCAGTGGGACGTCAGCAACATCAGCCTGGTTGACCAGGTAAGCACTAGACAGGCCTGGCCTAGGACTGGGGCTGCAGGGCTAGGAAAATTTTCGAAATCCATCAAGACTTAGGCTGTAGGATTGGTCAAACAAGTGGCTGCTCCAATTTAATCTCTGCAACTGCAAGATCATGCTAATTAATGAAGAAGAGGGAAGTCTGGAGAGGAGTTAAATATTGTCGTAAGAGACCCAGCAAAAATTGATAGAAAAGAAGAAGGCTCTTGGCGTGAACATTGCACCAAACATATTGCCAGAAGTGTACATCAATTGAGTAACATCAGCAGCATATGTGAGGCTGGGAACTCCAGGACAGCAGTCAGGAATGTTGAAGATTCGTTTAAAAAGTTATACAAGGACGTATGTCAAAGCAATCATGGTGCACGCAGTCCTGGTACGGTACGCAACATTGGCATGGTACGCAGCACTGCCATGGTACGCAGCACTGCCATGGTACGCAGCACTGCCATGGTACGCAGCACTGGCACGGTACAGAGATCTCTGCCTCACAAACAATATTGACAAGATCAAAAACGTTCAGTAGTTCCTGATCAAACAGGTCCCGGGAGTGAAAACAGAGCACTACCAGGACCTACTAAATTATTATAATCATAACGAAGCGTTAAACCTACTAAAAAAACTTTACTATTTTAGAAGATAGAAGCAACAAGGAAGACATGATTACAACACAAGATACTCAACAGAAATGACAACACAGATAGGGACAGTTTGTTTAAAATGCCTGGACCAGGGGCAGGATAACAAAGATGGAAACTAAAAACGAAGACCAGCCACGGGCAGCCTCCCATAAACAGTTTCAAGAACAGGTATGGCAAAGTCAAAGAAAACAGGACTTCGTAATGGAACACACACACACACACACACACAGCTTTAAGAAAAGGTACGATAAGACTCCTGAAGCAGGGAGAGATTGGACCTAGTAGCGACTAGCGAAGAAGCGGAGCCAGGAGCTGTGAATCGACTCCTGCAACCTTGCTTTCTTGCGTATCCACAGTGGAACGCTCTGCCTTCGGAGTCTCGCTCTGTGTTTTATATATATAAAATACTTTAAATCATTACATTAGTGTTCAATCTTATCTGTTCTTAGTCGAGTCTGTTTCTGTTGGCGTATCCGTTGTTAGGGCCTGCGTCTTCGCGCTTATACCTAGTCAAATACCTCATCAATTAGAGAATCCCTTAACAGAATCTCCGTCTACCTGCGTATGACTAACGCGCATACTTACCCGAGTTCACTAGCGTATCTCTCGCTAGGACCTGCGTCTACTGGCGTATACCTACCAAACGTTTATTCTATGTAAGGATGTGCGTCTACTGGCGTACCGTTGTATTTTCTTCGTGACTATTAATCTACACACAAATGATGAGAGAGAAAATGTGTTAGTAGGGAGATAGAAAGGGAGTAGGGAGGATGTAGTAGAGAAGTAGGTAGGGAAGGAGTAGGAAAGGGAGGAGTAAGTAGTAGGAGTAGGCAGAATTAGGGTAGGTAGGGAGCAAAAAGGGGAGGGAAGGGAGAGTGGGTGGATAAGCCTCCCTGGCAACTGTAGGGCGGTACCACTCAATGCTAGTAGGTCGTCTAGTGGTGGGCCTCCACCGCCCACCCCCACCCACCGCCCACCTTCTTGCTGGTGCTTTGGTGAGCCTCCTTCACCGCCCACTCTTCCCTTAGTGCTATGGTGGGCCTCTCTACCCGCCCCCACTTATAACCCACCACGCCCACCCTCAGCCCACCTCGCACTAGTGGTTGCCCACGCTTGAATTATTCAGGTAGGTAGGTGAAAGACTGCTTCCTACTCCATATATGTGTGTGTGTGTGTGTGTGTGTGTGTGTGTGTGTGTGTGTGTGTGTGTGTGTGTGTGTGTGTGTGTGTGTGTGTGTGTGTGTGTGTGTGTGTGTGTCGTGTGTGTGTGTCGTGTGTGTGTGTGTGTGTGTGTGTGTGTGTGTGTGTGTGTGTGTGTGTGTGTGTGTGTGTGTGTGTGTGTGTGTGTGTGTGTGTGTGTGTGTGTGTGAGAGAGAGAGAAAGAGATAATATAACTATACGACACTTTCTCCTAACTTTTCAAGCAATGTTTGCATGTTTGCCTGAGGCAATGTTGCACCTGCAACACTTAGAATCTTTAAATAACACTTCTTCAACACACGTCACCAGCCGCTAGTCAATAACACCTATTCTTCGTGCAATGGAACACTCATCTGTTCTTGTTCAGAGGAATCGAATCACATGTTTTTGTCGCACAGGAAGCACATAGCAGAAGTTAAGCCACTAAGACAACGTGTATGCAGATGTGTACACCAGTTTTTACTGTAAGTGCACACGCACGCCACGCATAATCTCATAAAATCTGATAGCGTATATGAATACTGCAAAACTTGTCTCAAAATCTGTCTTCGTATACACTACACTTGTTACTTAATCTCTGTCTTCTCATAAGCACACTGCGCAACTTTTCACATATTTACTAGACAGATCAAAGTCTGAGCTGCGTTGCGTATAGGATTTGCAAGTGGCAACACGTGTCTTAACTAGCACATGGAAGCACATGTCTTGGCAAGCACGTGGCAGCACGTGTCTTGGTCACCACATCGTAAACACACACTGTCCACCATCGCAACGTTTCCAGGCCTTAGAAATTTTTGTCTTCAAAACACCTCACCCGAATGAGTGTGGTATGCGCTGAAGGGACAGGTGCGTAGACGCACAGGAACACGCAGTTCGCACATGAGTGCACGTGTACACATGCACACAGGAGTAGACACGCACATGGGACAGGAGAGCGTAGTTGCGTGTGTGCGCGCGTGTGTGTACACCGATGACTCCAGACGATCGACCACTCCTTCAAGAAGCGCGCGGCTCTCTCTCCCTCCGTCTTGGGCCTGCACTCACACTTCCCTCACCTCTTATCTCGTCCCCACAACCCTTTACCTCTGTCTGCGCCTCCTGTTACTTCCCCGGCGGGAGCAACAAACCACGGATGAGAGTCGGAACGAGGCGAGGGGGCGCTGCAGGAGGGAGAACAGGGAACAATTCGAAGAGGAAACTTGGAGGTGCAGGAGTGAGTGTGAGTCTCGAGCCAGATGCCTCGTCAGTGCCGGTTGAGGGGTGTGCGAGTGCGCGGAGAGTGTGTGGGGGAGAGGCGGCGGGAAGAGGAGGTGGGGGAGAGGTGGGGTAGAATGAGGGAGAGAGAGAGAGAGGATAGGGAGCAGCGGGAGAGTTAGAGGGCTGGTTGCGACGAGCCAGAAGGCAGGGGACGGTGGATAGGATAGTTGGTATTTTTTGTTCGAGCAGTGCGATTTGTAGTGGGAAAATGTCAGTAGTGGAGGGGACTGTTGTGAGAGGGGCTAGTTGTTTAGTGGTGGAGGGGACTGTGTGGTGGATGTGGCGAAGGGAATGATAGTGGTGGAGGTGAAGGGAATGATGGTGGTGGAGGTGAAGGGAATGATGGTGGTGGAGGTGAAGGGAGGCTCGGTGATGGTGATAATGCATTAGATAGTGGTTGTGACAGTGATGAATGTGATGATAGTGGTGAAGGAGCTGATGATGGTGATGATATACACTAAGTAGCTAATTATAAACGTCAGGTAAGTGCTGAAGTGCACTACCAGAGCCTAAGTGACTAATGAATACACTGAGAGAAAACTCAATAAGTATAAAGAGAACACGACTCAACATCTTCCTTCCATAAAGGGGATTACCTATCTTCAAGAGGACACTCGATGAATTCCTCAAAAACAGTCCCTGATCAGCCGGGCTGTGGTGCACATATTGAACTGCGAGCGGCTGCACCAACAGCTCCACCAATCAGGCCAATAACCAAAAGGGCTGATCTAGGACCGGTCCGTGAGCGCAATGACCTCCGGAAGCGACTACAGGTAACCTACAGATTACCATAGTAATGATGGTGGCATTGATGGTGACTATGAGGTTGATAATGGTGATTTTCCTACTTACCAATCTGTGTATGTGAGGGTCGAGTCTTGGCTCCTGGTTCCGCCACTTATATCAAGCATCAACTTGTAACTAGCAGTTACCACTTCTGATAAAGTTTAACCACATGTCTATAGTTCCTATCTGGGCCATTATGCAATAACTGGCAATAACTCAGCAGGTTAGTTTTCAATATTTTCTCGGAACTCTACAAACGTTGTACATCTTAAAAAAATACTATTATTTCAAAACAGTAAAATTATGAAACTAATTCTCACACACACACACACACACACACACACACACACACACACACACACACACACGAGAGAGAGAGAGAGAGAGAGAGAGAGAGAGAGAGAGAGAGAGAGAGAGAGAGAGAGAGAGATGGAATATGTAAATTACAATATTCTAAGTTTTACTAAGAATACTGACAGATTTTTTAATAGCATGTATGTGTTACTTCTGAGGATATATACTAAGTAGCTGATAATAATCAAGTCAGGTTAGTGCCCAAGTGTACTAGCTGACAGCCTAAGCAGATAGTTATAATCAAGTCAGGTTTTGACACAAGGGCACTGAGTCCTACAGTAACGTAATTTCTTTCTGCAACTATTGTACATGCCTGTCAACACAGGCGCTTGTGAGTACACTTCACTCGCACTTGGCACGCTGTGCTGATCCTAGGAACAGTCACGAAAAATTCTTAGCTTCTTGGACCAGTATTCTTAAAACTATTCTTAAAACTGCGGAGTTTGCCTCCACCTCTTCCACATCCAGTTCATTTCTCTTTCCTGCTACTCAGACTGGAAAAATGCATCCTGCTATCCATATAGTTGATCTGTGTTTTTAGTTTAGCTTATATATATTTCTTATTTGACCAGGCAATTTCAACGGTCTGTCTTTATCTGTCTTATCAATTTTTTATAGGTATCTTATAGTTCGTTACCATGTCTCTCCTGGTTCTCACTGTCCACCACTTGTGCACCTTTTCAAGCTCATGAATGTGCTTGACAATGTGCACATTAACCAGGTGCTGCATATGTTACGACGGACTACCTGTATACCTGACAACGACTACTGAGTCCTAAAGAACTCTTTACTGAAGTTCCTGAAGGCTACTCTAAGACCTGGTAGCCTCTCATAAGTTGCTGAGACCACACACTCCATTTGCTCCTCCGACAATGTGTTGGTTGTGATGTTTACTCCGATTTTTTTTTCGATTGTTTCTACATCCTCCCAGTCTGTATTAGTTACACCTCCCAGGTCCTTCCCTCTCCTTCGCCGAATTGCAAGACCTTAGGATCGTTTGGAAAAACAATAACAGCAGCTACTTGTCTGACATCACCGTAGTTTCTAAGATTTTTCTGTAAATCGTCTGTCATCTCCTATTGATATTCTTTTTAAACAGCCTGAGCCCCTCTGGCAGATCATTTACATATAGCAAGAATAGTAGTGACATTTATACTCATTCTTGTTTAGCTCTGTTTATCCTCCACTGGAGGATTTTCCCTTTTATTACTAATTCCTCTTCAAGCCGGTGAATCACAGAAGTATCAACAGACTTCATAGCTCTCACGGAAACCAAGCTCATCTCTCCAATTGGATATCAGATCCTGAAGACAGAGGGAACAGGTGGGAATGTGAAGGAGTGGTATCTTCTACAACAGGTCATGGTTACAGACTGAGCCGAAAATGGAGGATCGACCCTTCACCACGCCTATCAAAACGCTTGGTTATTCAGCGCTTGAAACATGCCATTTCTAACATTACCAAATATTCACTCTCATTATTAATTGCTGCTTTCGTCAATAATTTCTTTTCATATTTCAGTAATTATAATCATAAGTCAATTGTTCACATTCCACAATCCATATTCATAATTTGCTCCATCTCCTTAGCCATAAGTGGCAGCAAATTTAGACGAAAGGGAAAATATCCCCACCACTTTTGTGAAGAGAGAGAGAGAGAGAGAGAGAGAGAGAGAGAGAGAGAGAGAGAGAGAGAGAGAGAGAGAGAGAGAGAGAGAGAGAGAGAGAGAGAGAGATGCTGGGTTCTTAGGCAAGCACTCTGTGGGAAGAGTGGCACCCCTGCCAGAGACGAGGCTTTTACTTCCTACTCCCAGGCACAAACCACTCAAACGTTACCACCTGATCCAGCGTCGGGGGATGGGGGCAGAGGCAGGTGTGGGTGAGGTGGAGAGCAGGTGAAGTGTAGAATCCGGTGGTTTTACTGGTAGTGGTCAGAAGAAAAAAAAAAGAAAACACACAAAAAAAAAGGTGTCCATACCAACTTGAAATTCTGGTGAGTGTTGTTTTGCCTGCGGGGGGAGGGGTAGGGGTATGGTCGGTGTGGATGTTTGGGTGTGGGTGTGGGGGGGGATGGTAGTGTTGTCAGCAGTAGTGCGTATGTTGTTGCTCGTGGTGGCTTTTTGGTGGTGGTTGTGGTGAAGGCAGCAAGAGGTGTAATATAACTTAACAGAAGTGCGCCGAGTTAGCAAGGGAAACGAAATGCAAGAGATGAATACACACCGCAGCATACACTGAGTGTATAAATTCTGAGTGCGTGTGTTGTGTCAGTGTTGAGGCCAGCCAACACCAGAATGTTTGAAAGCAAATGTCATACTACCAACGACAGCGAAGAAAAGACACGTTGCAGAATATGCTTTTACTGGGACGTTTCGCTCTATGTAGAACTTATCAACTCATCGGCACACATCTCTAACAAAAACTCACTCACTCACTCTGTGTGTGTGTGTGTGTGTGTGTGTGTGTGTGTGTGTGTGTGTGTGTGTGTGTGTGTGTGTGTGTGTGTGTGTGTGTGTGTGTGTGTGTGTGTGTGTCATTAACACAAATATGTGAAATTAAAGATTATATTGATGGAGGTTTGGTCAGAAGAAACTGGAAAACTCCTGACGCTGGTCTAAGTCATGTGCTAACCCACTCAGTGGAACTTTCGGGCATTTGACCGAGACTTTCAGCTGGCCTACCAGTCCACCCCGTAAAAAAATAATCATACGATGTGCTAGTAAATTTTACATACCATTTAAAAACAAAGATTCACTATATAGCAGTGTCCTAGAATAATTTTGAATGATTCAAGATCAGGTATGAGTTTAGGTACACTAATGATATGAGGAGGTTTTCCCATGAATGAAATTAAGTTTAGGGAGAGAGGGAAGTCCCTAACGCAGGAGCAGTACTCTAGACAATGGTCGGTGATACTTTTGTAATTAACGCAACTGAGAAGTGATGTATCGTCTGAACCACGAGAGAACAAGGCAGAAGCGGAGAAATATAGAGGCAGACAGTATAATTATAGTGTGAGAGTTTAGAAGAAGAGGTGAAATTTGAGAAGTACACGTGGAGGTCGAGAAGTGCAAGCAGAGGTCGAGAAGTACACGTGGAGGTTGAAAAGTACATGTTGAGGTCGAGAAGTATACGTAGAGGCTGAGAAGTACACGTAAGGGATGAGAGTTTCTTCCAGAATAGGATAAGTTCCTGCTGAGGTTGAGAAGTACATACACTAGGTGATCTGCAGCAGAAGTACCTTAATGAATTCAGTGTACTACATCATTCAAATTCTATAGGTTGAAAGTTACTATTCTAATCCGCAAGGCCGGTGACACCCCTTCCCCCAGCTATCAACAGGTAGCTAAACAATTAATTAGCTCATTAGGGTCAAGACACGGAAGACAATCTTCGTGAAAAATTGCGAAGTCTCCCAGAAAGATGTCAGCTACTGGAGATGAAGGCCAAAGATTTCTTGACTGAAGAGTAGCATATGCAAAGTTATGAGAATTTCCTCGTGAAGGTAAGCAAATTAGCTTAGCAACTGACAACAACATTGAGCCTAAGATTATTAAAGTTTGGTGACTTTAATAATCTTAGGCAGAGGCATATTCCATACAGAACTTAAAGAATATGTATGACCGAGCCTTTGAGACAAGAAATTTAAGTATCATCGTTAGTGATTAGGAGTCGAAGCTGAGAACCGAGACTCGACCCTACGCTACTGAAAGACTACATGCAACATAAGCAACCGGGATCAGTTAACATGTAGCGATGGGGACTGAAAGAAAGATCAGAAGCGAAGATCTACACGACGCTAAAGGTAGACCAACTGTCACATTACCGTTAAGCTGCCGATGTGGTTCCAGTGTACCATAGAGGGATATGCCAGAGGCAATGAATTACAGGCCAGTATTGCTGGCCTATATACTACTCCAAGTGACAAAAAATGATCATCAGGAAGCAATTGGTGGTGTACCTGAAGAGGAAATTTGTTGCGGTGAAAGCCTCGCCTCACAAACCTACTAAAATTCTAAAACAGGATAACGGAAACAAAGGGAGAATTACGAATTAGTGTAGACTGCAAACAAGTATTTGATATAGTACCCCTCACCAGAACGGGGTACACGGAGAATTGTTCCAGTGGATCACTGTATACTGTATATAATTAACAGAATATAGTAATGGGAAAGGGTAATGAGTGGAATCTAAAAGGCTTGATACTGGAATCGTTACTGTTCCACAGGATACTGGCTTTTACGTATCGCTACTTTCCGAAGACGTGAGGATAAATGAGATTAGAAACGGGAGAGACAGAGACAGGTTACAAGAAGATTTGGACAGGCTGCAAGCGTGGTTGAAAAATTGGCTTCTTGAACTCAACACAAAATAAAATGCAAGATCGTGCAAGATCATGCAAATCCGGGAAGGAGAGAAAATATCAAAGGTGGAATAACGTCTGGGATTAGAGAAGTTTAAGAAAAAGTCGTACAAGATGAATGATCAGGGGGTAAACATTACACTTAACATGTTTCTAAATGTAGTGGTAACACACAAATATATTTAACAATATGTGACGCCGACAAGTGGTAAATAGACACTTAGTGAAGTGACGTTTTTACTGGCACAGGCGTCACCCACGAGTGGGCTTTATAAAGTGCATAATAAAGCCTACTCGTTGGGCGAAACGTTGTACCAATAAAGACTTCACTGCACAGTTACCACAAAAAATACAGGAGTCACACTGGGTCTATCAGAAACCACTGGAGTGATATGTATTTAAAATATTACAATCATTTCACAGATAATAATCTTATCATGTAACTGTTAAATTATGTTGTTGATGCAATGCGTGAAT